AGCCATGACCTTGGTCGCACACATTGGTCAACATCTCACAATTTTTGACCCCCAGATCGATCGTCAAACTACCGACCTGTACATAATCATCGTTGTCACATGTCGTCTCCCTTTCATCGTCCCATCGATCGTCGTCGACATCTCTAACAATCCACATCACCATCCTTGTCCTCCGCTTCCTCATCGCCGTCGGCCGATAGATCAGATCGCAATGCGCCCATCCATCTCTGGCGCATGTAGGGCTCGCGCGTCACCATAGCACACATGTTTGCTTCCAGCACCGATCGTACGCGAGCATCCCCAAATATATTGTGATCCCGCCGCCCCGTCGTCGCACGTGTCATGTTAATCCAGGTGCTGCATTCGTTTTCGAACATGACCGTTGCACCGTGGCGCAGTTGAAGTACTGAGTAACCTGCCCAGATGACCCCTTCCAAAGTGCAGGCGTCCTCAGATATGTGACCCTTCCTGAAGGATTCAGAAACGACTCGACAGGGTCCAACAGGTGGCTATCCCCAGGGCACGTACTCACCCTGGGGGCAGCACCGAGTCGGAACCTGTTGATGCGTATCTTCCCTTTCGGATCCTGTCGAATTTACGGCTGGCGCCGCCTGCGTTTTGCACGAGGTCGCTCGCCATCCCCTCCCCGCAGAACATCTCGAACAAGTCGAGTACGCGAGGTGGGTCTCGACTCATCATTCCCTCCACCTCTGTCTGGGCCATCCGAATGATCTCCATCATGTTCGATTGGTTTAGCCTCCTCTGGCGCCTCGACGGCGCGAGCTCCTTCGACCTCTCCCTCACCCATCGGGGAATCCCTCTCGCCTGGGCTACCATCATGGCGCGAGAAGCATGGTAGATCGGCACTAGGAGCAAAAATGTAAGTGTTGCCGCCGACTTGGCCCAAAATATCGAAACAGTAGAACACGGATGTTTCCATTGTGCGTTTGTGTGCGGCCTGGGCGCACAACCTGAGTGCCAGGTTAAGATGCTCGTCAGTGAAAGTCGCTGTCACCTTTGGGTTGCCAAGATCGAAACTCCTCGAATGGTTCAGAAATGCGGGCGCGCTCTGTGGCCACGCGATAGGAATGTGAGGAGTGCCAGATGGAGAGGAGGGGCAGGGGCAGAAGCACAAGCAAGAGGAGGGCATGCATGCAAAGACGGAGGTGAGGGATACAGAGGATGAGAAAGACGAGGAGGCGGAGGAGGGGGGGAGGGAGTGGGGAGTGGAGGAGCTGATCTTGCCCCCCCCTCCCCACATCCTCCCAGTCAGCTGTACCACAATCCCCGCCCCGTTGTTCACCACCCAGGGCTCCTGATGGTAAGGCGACCGAAGCTGTGGTGTTTTGGCAACTGGTGAATCCCGGCCTTGCCCCCCTCAAAGATATGCACCGCGCACGTATCCAGGAGCTTCTGATATTCAGGAATCGTGAGCTGCGTTCGAGCTGACCGACATGTGTTGCACCACTCCTCTAACGCTAGCCCCGCACGGAGAAGATGCACACCCTTTTGGACCATGTGCAAGTGTTTCTGGAGCATGTAGATTGAGAAATTTAGCAATACGTGACATTCGGCTGCCTTTACCCGCATCATGCCGCCAGGGTGTGGGTCGGGACGATCTGACGGCAGAATCTTATCTGTGATTGTGCCAAGCCTCATGTCCGCGGGAACATCGGCGTAGTCGTACCAAGACTCTAGATCGTGCACAAGGCGTCGAAGTCGGTTCGGGGCGTTTGTTTTCCAGGGGTTCGCATGCAAGACGCGCATGAATGCGCACGATACGACCATCATCATATTCCCAAGATATACAGTGTGCAGTGAATCGATCGCTAACGTTCTCACTGGGTTCGTCCCGAGGGCCCGAGAGAAAATCTGTGAACGATGTATGACCCAATCGGTCTTTTTCTTCCCCGATATATCGTAATGCGTCCTCCAAAATACAGCTTCAAAGGGTAGATCGTACTGCTCGAACAAGTTGGGGTTAATCATGGATGGGCTGGGGTCCAACCTATCAAGCCGTTCAAGGCCAAGTTCTGGAAAACCTGGAATCGAACTCATGAGCACTCGGCCCTTCGCCGATCTCCCACTTATCTCATATGTTAGACATCCTAGAATGGCAGACCGAAGCTTCTCCGAATTAACACTGATGCGGATCTCGCACCGCTCACATGCTCTCTCGTATTCATCTTCGTCCCTGTCTGGGTACAACATGCCATCACTGGTAATAAAACCAGGCCCCGTGATGTGCATACAATCTTTAGGACAATCGCATATAGGGCATGGATTGTACGCGTGTGCCCACGACGACAGGCCGAAACTTTTTTGGTACTCTGCCCAGTCCCCCTTCAGGTGTAAAATCATACAACGAAATCCCCCCAAGGATTCTCCAGGAATGTTCAGCTCGTCGAAAGGGTCCCAGGGCGACCCGTCGTGTCGGCACGGAGGAACAGTCCCGTTGACGAGGGCCTCAAGCATCCACGCAGCGACGTGAAACATCGCATGCACACTGCAATGGCCACCGCAACCGCATTCACAGTACTCCGATGTTCGAAGGAAGCCGAGGAGATGTCTCTTTTTCGTTATGAGGTTAATGATGCTCACACCCAACAGTGAGTCCGCCGACCCAGAAGGGTCCATGGCATATGACCACATCTCGGAAACACCAGCGTTTGGGGAGTTGGTGGTCAGTACAAGCCACGGTGAAACTGTTCCAACCACGTATGTGGTATTCGAGCGACCAACTCTGACCATGCACATGAGCTTCAATAACTTTGTTCATGTTACACTGCATCCCCAGGTGGAATAAACACGCACGCACGCACTCGTACAGCATGCGCGTTGAGTATGCGCTTGTATAAAACCACCCACAGCAACAGTGCGATTACATGTGGCAGCTGTGGTTGCATTCGTGCGTGCGTGCGCGTGCGCGCGTGCGTATATCGATATGCACCATGGCGTATGTAGCTGTGCATGGGCGTCGGGTAAGGCGACAGCCCACGCGCTCGATTCTACCTGCTGACACGGGCGTGTATCGCACACCATCTGCATAGATACCAAGTGGTAGAGGGAACGATCCTGTCTCGGCAAGGGAGCGGATGGTCATCGGATTTGAAGCGTATGCTGGTAGAGACATCACACTATCGGGATTAGTCACGTCCCCCCGCCTGAGCATATCACGAAGGCCTGGTGTCGCATTTACCTCATTGGCAATCGTGTGCATCACTGATTTGAACACGACGCTGCGTGACTTCTGGGTTGGGTCACTCTTTGAGAATATCGGAATATCAGCTCTGTAATATGGCCCACCCCGTGGCATCCGACGTTTGATATGTTTCGAATAGCGGCCACTTGGCAGCCCTGGGGGGAGCGCTAGTTGTTTGAAGTTTGAACCAGGGACCCCACTCATAACTGCGTAATGTGATATGATGCACATGTCCTTTGAAGTAATACGCTTGCAGCTGCCATGTATCGCAAGCAGTGTATCGAACAGTTTTGCAGAATTGAGTCGGGCCGCGGGTGTACAGTAGCGGTTGAATTTCCCATAACGCCGCGACATCTTGGGTTTGGGCATCAAACGAGCTACCGTGAAGGAAGGGGGGGACAGACCACGAGCCGACAGTGTGATGTTTGGGCTAGGACCTCGGGAGTGTACAGACAGAGATCGGAACAAAGAATGCGAATGCGCACCTGGGCGACATGAGGCGTTTACAGGCAGTGTCGCGAAATCATCACGACTTGGGCAGTAGACAGTCCTCCAGTCATGCGCATCCACTCGTTCATCATTCGCGCCACTGTGATCAGTTGTGGTGGTCACACATGCTATAGTGTACCCTATCATTTACACACATGTGTCATAGAGCAGCGTGACACATGGCGTGTCTGCATTGCGCAATGTGGGCGTGGTGAGCGATGCGTGACGGAGGGGATGAGACTGGAACAGTCATTCACAAACGGAGCGCAGCACGAACATTGAAATTGCCCGTGTCGAGACGTTACGGTCAACAGAACGATGGCACAGCTTACATCTGCCAGGCTCGCACCCTACGGGCGCATGCGTCAAATACCAAGTGCTCACACCTGGCAAAGCATGCGTCGCGCGAGCCTTCTCAGCGCCCTCGCGTGTGCTCGGGTCTACGCATGGAGCGACCGGCATCGTCCCTGATATCATGATCACCCACCTGTGTCGTCGTCATGGGGTACAATAGACCACCGTCATCGTGTTTAACATGCATGCCATCGTCACCGTCGTCGTCGCTGGCTTCGTTCTGCGCTGCCTCAGCTGCTCTGCTGCATGCGCTACCATCTAAACCACATTAGCATATCATGATGACCATCAAATCGTCATCGCATCTGTCCGTGTATGCCCCATCCTCTGCCCACAACCCCCTCATCATATATATCATCTCGTTGCGCGCCTCACAGACCCTTCAGCGCCTGTGAGCGAGCATAGCAATAGACCCAGCACTGTTAAATTGTGCAGACTTGTGCACGCGGGACAGCAGGCAACGATCTATCCCAAGAACACGGCAACTTTCTGCCGAACAGAACGGCCAGCAGCATACCAGATACCAGAATTCTGCGGTGAACCAAGGAAATCATCGGCCCCCAAATTCAGACAAATTCAGACGGTTTTCAGACGGTTTTCAGACGGTTTTCAGACAGTGAGTTTTATATGTGTTCTTACGCTTATTCTGAATTTTCAGACGGTTTTCAGACGGTTTTCAGACGGTTTTCAGACACGGTGTGTTTTCAGTGTGGTTTGGGCCGGCGACCGGTCCGCGGGGCGGTCCAACTGGGTATCTGTCGTATTCTGCTGCCAGTGTTGCTGCCATGCCATCCGATTGAGCAAAACAACCATTCACGTGCAAGTGCTAACTCGGATTTGAACAGACAGCATACACGAATTGCAGTTCGTTGGTCCCGACCCCGACCAGGATGCATCCAGGGAGGCCTTCTGTTCGATCCAAGCTAACAATTGCTACACAATGGTTCGAGTACATCTACTTAGCAGGCGAATCCTCGAACTCCATGCGGGACGCGTGCTGCCTGAGCAACTTCTTGGTCTCCAGCTGCAGCTTCCCCAGCGGCATCGTCATGCTGTTGTTCGCGCGCACCACGGCGGTCTCGAAGTCAGCATCGGACGAGCACCCCTTCTTGAACTCTGCGATCTGCTCCACGGTGAACAGGCTCGCAACCTGCTGGTCCTTCTTGAGAAGATCATTCACCTGCTGAGGAATACACCGCCAACTGCTGTCACCGCGTCATCCCTCAAGTTGTTCCATCTCAGCCGCCTCAATCATCCCTTCTATCATCCTGATCATCATCCTCATCCTCATTTCCACCCACACCATCCTCCCGATCCTCATCTTCATCCTCCTCCATATCATCCTCATCCGCCTTCCTATCATCATCCTCATCTTCCGCATCCCTCATCCTCCTCCTCATCCTCATCATGAGTTAACCTCAATATCATCATTATCATCAGCTTCCGAATCATCATCATCCATACATTTTATGATTCCAAATGACCTCGGTCAGAGCGTCATTCATGTGCTTGTTAAGCGACATGGGCTCGCCATCGGGGTCATTGGGGTCGGAAACCTTGGCCATGGCCCACGCCCACTTCTTGTCGTTCTTGATGCTCTCCGAGACCGTGCGCGCCTGCGAGGTGACTATGTTGTAAACGTTCTTCACCTTGGAAAGAAAGCGGGATCCAACGAATGCAGCTGCGTCCTCCTCATCCCCCTCTCATCACGGAGAGGGGGTGGGGGTGGTGGGATGAAGATCGTCAGTAGCAATGTATGTTAAGATGAGGGTAAGGGTGTGTAAGCGTGATGGTAGACTAGGAGGGGAGATGGTGCAATGTTAGGTAGCATGAGAGGCTACGTATGATATTATGCTGGTTAGTGCCATGACGGAATGAGGTGGCAAATTCCACATGTCTGACCTTTCGGAACTCCACGAGCCAAGCAGGCGATTTGGTGGGCACCTTCTTGCCGTGGCCACCAGTGGGCTCGCCGTCGTTGCCGTCACCAGTGGACTTGCCAGCGTCGCCTGTGTCATCGCCCTGGTTGCACTTCCGCTTCTTGCCTGCTGGCGCCGCCTCCTCACCAGCAGCAGCTCCAGTCTTCTTCTTGCTCGCCCTGGACTTGGGCTGGGCCGCTGACGGCGCGGGCTCCTGGGCGGGCTCTCCGCTGGCGGCCTCGGGCGCAGGCAGCGCGGCAGGCGCGCCCCCAGCTGGCGCCGTCGGCGCTGGCAGGGCTGGGTCCTCCATATGCGTCCATGTAGTCCACTTCGCATTGATCTTCTTGTAGGTGTCCGTGAGCCTGTGGACGATGTGCAAATATTTCATCTGCTTGGTGCCGTCGCAATACTCGAGCATCTCGCCGCCCAAGAGGATGCAGTAGTGAGCCCAGTTGATGGCCGCTCGAAGGCCCGCCCTACCTCCACCTTCCTCGACTGCGATCTTGGCCAGCGAGATGTACTGGCCATCCTTTGACTCAGCCTTCTCGTTGATCTCGCCAGCCTTGTACTGCACCCGCTGCGCCCACTTATCGAACTCCCGTTTCAACCAGTCCTGGCGGTACGCGGCCTTGTCGCTGAACCCTTTCTTCTTCTTGTATTCATCTGCAAGTCCTTGGTTGGCGGCCTTCGCCCTCCTCCACTTCGCAGCCGCTGGGTTTGGCGTGTTCTCGTCCAGGTCGAAGTAGAAATTCTTCTTCTCCATGGCCAGCCAGAACTCCCTGAACTCGTCGTCCATCTCCTCGTCGGTCTGCCCTGTGGCCTTGCGCTGCTCGTCCGCCCAGAACGGGTCCAACTTCCGAAGGGTTTGGATCCGCCCCAAAGATTCGGAATGGTAGATCTTAGCAAGGCGGTTGCTCGCGAACTCGGCCGACGCGTCGTCGATGTTGCTGCCAGCGCATATGTCGTTCGTGATGAGCTGCACTTCCTTATCGATGTCCAGCAGGAGCTCCTTCTTCGACTTGTTGCCCATGAGCGTCGGATCTGCGCTTGACCCACTCGAATCAGAGGACGCAGTCGCAGCAGATGACGGTGGCTCCCTCTCGGAGCTGCGATTGCGAATGAGCTGCCCGACGATTGGCTTGCACCCCGCGCTCGCATCTGGTGACCCCACACCCGCAGCTGGCGCAGCAGGCTCGACTGAGGCATCAGCTGATGCGGAAGCTTGGCTGTCCTGGCATAGGTTCCAAAAAGAAACAGAGGATGCGGGGGGGGAGGAGGAGGAGGAGGAGGGGGAGGAGAAGGACGATGAGGAGGAGGAGGAGGAGACGGAGAAGGAGGGAGAGCATGAGAAGGAGAGGGGGTGGACGGCGACGGCAGTGGCGCATCATCGTGATGGGGGCAGCACAGCAGCAACACAAACACCATCTCCACCCCCAACAACAACACACCGTTTGCCACCATTGTCACGGATGATATCGCGACGTGGGGTCGCATGTCACGATCATATCCGTCATTTGAGATGGTAGCCCCTCTCAATGCGGATGCGTTCGATGTGGCGGGCGCGGGTCGGACACAATTGATCAGAGCAGCAGCATGAGGACGAGAGAAGCACGATGTGAGGAACTGCTGGTGGGGGGATGTTAAGTGCATCCCGAGAGGTCCTTCCCACCAGGATAGTCACCGAGCGCAGGTGCTGCCGACCGAAGCAGCTTCTGACTCGTCTCGATCGAACGCTGCACCTCATCCATGCGAGCCTTCGCGAGCTTCTCTCTCTCCTCTGCCTGCTTCATCCTCTCACTCAGCAGCTCGTCTTGCCTGTGCGCCTCAGCGGTCGCCTTCTTGAGCTCTTCGATGCGCTGCCTCTGTGCGATCCTCTTCTCTTTCTTCTCCTGCCTTCTCCTCGCCTCTTCCTCAGCTGCCTCCTTCCTCTTGGCCTCTTCTTCCTCTGCCTCCTGCGCAGCAGCCCTCGCTTTCTTTGCAGCCTCATTGCGCGCCTCGCGATCTTCCATCCAGCGCTTCTGCTCGCGCCTCAGCCACTCGGCCCCCTCCTGTTCCTTCCTGGCTGCCTCGTCCTCCTTCGCCTTGCGCTCAGCCTCCTGGCGCTCAGCATTCTCCTCTGCCTCACGCGCAGCCGCCTCCTGCGCGATGACTGCTCTCCTCGCTTCCTCAGCCTCTCGCAGAACACGTTCCTCCTCTGCCTTTAGGTCCTCGCTGTCGCTGTCGCTGTCCTTCGGCGCACTGTCCGTCGGCGCGCCGTCCTTCGGCGCCAGCTCCGCGAGCTCTGCCACGCCAGGGAGCTCGGCACCGCGAGGATCGCGATCTGGAAGCGGCGAACCACCAGCCTGCCAGGACTCACCAAGGCCCGCTGCACGACTCACCGCGTCTGCCGCGGGAGCAGTCGCAGGCAGACCGCCGTCCGTGCTGCCCGAGGCCCCCGAGGCGTCCTTTTCCTTCCGATCCTGCTCCTCCTCCTCGCAGAGCTCCTGCGCCAGCTTCTCCGAATCGATAAACTGGCGCACCTGGCACAGCGCATCCTCGTCAGAGTCAACTCCCTTCGCCGTGTTCGCCGTGAAGGTGCGCTGCAGCGGCTCGTTATCCGATGCATCCTCGGGAATGTCCAAGCAATGCGCAATCAATATGGGGGGGTACCCGAATTATCGAGGGCCTTGTATGGGCGTTCTTCGCCACTCCTCACGGTTTCGGTCCATACTCCTCTTCATCATGCCGCCTCATCCTCTTCCTGATCCTCCTGCTCTTCCTATTCTCCATTACCTCCACACCCTCCTCCTCTCTGCTCATCCTCCTCCTGATGTAGAGGGTACGCTCCCTATGGGGGTCCTCATGCAGGGTCTGCCCCGCTGGGGCGCCCTCGCTGGATGACACGTCCACGACGGCATCGCTCATGGTTGTGACTGGTACGCGGTGGATCCACAATCTGATATCGTGGTATCGGTGCTGCTGCTTCATATACTTGACCAGAAGCGGCTATCGCATCGTGAACGTGATCGGACCCCCCTCCGCCACACATGCCCTATCATCGCACTACCTCCACTCATCCTCATCCTCCTCCTCCTGATCAGATCCCCCCTGATCCTCCTCCGCCTCCATTCCCACTCACCGGCCTCCTGTTCTGAACCCGTTTTACCCCACCACTCCACTTAGGGTATGCGAGGGTGGAATTTCGGTGCGATTTGGGGATCGAGTCTTAATCGGCCAGACCAGACGCGTGAGACCCGCGAAAGAACGAGGACGATGACGATGCTCGTGGCGAGGTTAAGCGAGGTGGGAAATATGATGAGGACGTGGTTGAGAGGGTTAGGGGGTCAGCCGAGCTGGACGTACCCATATGCAAAACCACAACCAGTTCTCGGCCCGTATTGGGGGAACCACAACTTAAACCCGATTGCATTTCAGGGGCCGATTCGTTGCCACAAGTATGTGTGCAATGCTCTCTGACGCAGGTCGAACTTTTTCGTTGTGTTGCCTCGGTCGATCGTCGGGGGCAGTCCACGCCCTGGAGACCTCATGACGAGATGCACGTCCATGGTCCCGTCCAAGACGACGGCCACGTTGTGCCCGAGCGGGTCCTGGGAATCCAAACGCATGGAGGGCGCGTGCTGAAGGTGCGGACGGAGGGTCGAGGAGTAGGACGAAACAGACGAGGCTTAAGTTGATGAGGAGGACAAGGAGCACTACAGAGGATGAGTACGACCATCGAGGAAGATGAAGACGACGGGGAGCGAGAGGAGATGGGTGATGCGGGGGTGGAGCGACGACTACCCATGTACTCGACATCCTGATCCTAATCCCACCTCCACTCTCCTCTCAGTAGTCCCCCCCAGCCTGTAAATTACCCCTATGGGTCTCATCTGCCTTATGGGCATCTTCCCTATCTTTATATCTGAAGGTCAGTACCTACCTGGACCTCCTCCTCCTCAAATCCCTCCTCAGCCTTAACCATCGCGCCATTGTTATGCCCAACCCCCGCTCCTCGTCAACGGTCTGCCGCAGCTAGAAGAAACCAATGCCGATGATCGTGTCGGGCGCTGGCTGCGGCGGTGGTGCTGGAGGCGATGGTGCTGGCGTAGCCGTTGACATCGGGGTCGGGGAAGCTGCTGCCGTCGGCGAAGGTGGTGGCGGCGAAGCTGCTGGCAGCGCCCCCGAACCTGATGCCATCCCTGATGCCGTCGGTGAGCTCGGTGGCTTCATTGTAGACGGCCTCTTCATCACTGGCGGGGAGCTGTCATCGTCCTTTGCCGACGGCCTCTTCTTTGCTACCAGCGGCGCCTCATCATCTTCCTCGGCGTCGTCATGTTCACATTGACTGTCCTCGTCATCTGCTGCTGGGGATTGGGGCCTCATTTCGCTGTCATCTTCCGATCCGTCATGATCTGAACCACCAGCATCATCATCATGATCATCATCATGCGATGCAGTCTTCTTAATAAGAGTTGCTTCACATGACGCGGACGGCCTCTTCTTTACAGTCATTTTCGTGCTCTTCTCATTGACTTTCTCAGCCTTGTCACGCTCCTGCATCCACTGCGCCTTCTGGTCGTCCAGCGCCTGCTTGTCTTTCTCGTTCGAAGCATATGCCGTACCCATTGACTGGAACAATTTGACACCATCCTCGTACTTGTAATGGGGCTTCATCATCATCTGGATCACCATCTGCAACCGTTTCCCGTCTAATCTCTGCCACAACGCCAGAAATTGTTGTCCTTTCCGACTGTATGGCGATGCCCATATTCTGGTAGTCTTATCTTTCTTACCCTCGTAGAAAATGTGGTTCTTGATCTCCTTGTGCTTCATCTCAGCGTACTCTTTCACAGTCAATCCAGCCACCGTGTGGGTCGTGCCGTCCTCGAACACCGCCTTCACAGGGTCGTCGTCATCGCAGCCCGTGGTGTCGATCGGATTCGCCCACTCGATCGTGGGCTTCGTGCTCTTGCTCTTCAGCTTCTTGCGGCACACAGCCTCGCTGGAGGGGTGGGGCGGGTCGTTAGTACGTCTCTGCTCCCGCCTGTAATAATGCCCATCCTCCTCATACCCCCAAGTATCCGGATCTGCCTCACACTATCTCGAGACAACTCGGCACTCGATATATGTGGCAGGTGCCACGCGCACGATGATTTCAACCGTCACCAGACTGGCCCACACCAAACTGACCCAGACACCCAACTTGAATTCAGACTGAATTCAGACTGAATTCAGACTGGATTCAGACTGAATTCAGACTGAATTCAGACTGAATTCAGACTGAATTCAGACTGAATTCAGACGGAATTCAGACGGAATTCAGACGGAATTCAGACGGAATTCAGACTGAATTCAGACTGAATTCAGACGTCAAACCTGATACCCTACGATAATCAGTGGCCTCATCGCATTACTTCTCAGGTATCACTCCTCCGCCCCTCATCTTCGCCCTCATCATCCTCATCCTCGCCCTCCTCATCCTTTCATCCGTTCCATCCTTTCCCCCTCCTCATCCTCCTCATCATCCTCTCGGTCTGGCCCAAGTCCCGACGAACCCACTACTTCGATTCTCCCGCAGCCATCTCCAGGCGGTCGAACTCGTACACCCACTCGTTGCACTGCACGCGGCCGCCCTTGTCCTGAGCTGGAACATTCAAAGCTCAGCTCGTGATCGTCCGTCGTCCGATGCCATCCAGCCACCAACATCACCCACCAGCTTTTATCCTATCACGCCGTTCCTGGCCCCCACGGCCTCAAAATCAACCGCCTCAGCCTTTCCTCCTCCTCCTCCTCCTCCTCCTCCTCCTCCTTGGGCTGAATGGCGCGGAAACCTGATGCCGTCAGACTGGCGGGCGATGGGGGGAGGATGGCGGGGAGACGGATCCAAGACACACAGAATGAGGGTGATATCTACGACTCCCCAGCTGTCCTCGGGCTCGTCGTAGAATGGCTTCAGCCACTCTGGCGCTGGTCGCCCGTCAGTCCTGGGAGCATATGTTTTTGCCCATGCTTCGCCTCCCCCTTCCCCATCCACCACATCCTCCTCCTCCT